ATAATAAATACAAATATTTAAAAAAAGCACTTATTTATTTTTAAACATGTCCTTATTAGTCATTTAATGTTAAACAACAACCGTTGATTATTGTATAGCCAAACAGTTATATTATCGAATTCGTTATTTACCATCTGTTATTCACTTTTTGTTATCTGTCATCCGTTATCCGGTAACTGCCACCCGTTACTCATTACTGTTATCTATTATCCGCTTCTCATTATTTACTATCCACTAAATTTTAATTATTGTAGTAAACAGTCTTTTAACATCGTTTATACTCAATTGAAATGAAAAATTGTATTTCATATCACACTGATTCAAATGGTAAACTAATGATTATTAAATAAAGAATAAGACCTTCTAATCTTTGAGCCTGCTTCAGCTTGTCCAAAAGGGTGGATCCAAAATCGGTCCACTGTTTCTAGTCGTTACAATTTTTGAGGGTATGTTGCTTTTCTAAAAAGTGGGATACAAGTCGGTTCTACCTTTTTCTAGTTATTACAAATTTTGAGGGTATGTGGCTTTTCTAAAAAGTTGGATACAAGTCGGTCCCACTTTTTTCTAGTTATTACAATTTTTGAGGGTATGTTGCTTCTCTAAAAAGTTGGATACGAATCGGTCCCACTTATTATTATTATTTGAAATAAACTGAAAACCAAATTGGTCCAATTTAATAACAGTCCATTTCAATTCAGTGACATTGGATCTTGAATTAAAGTTATTCACATTTAATGGGTTATACGTTCGAACCCTACAAAATTTTTTTTCCTCCTCTCCTAATTAACTCTGTAAATAATTATAAATTGTTCAAAAAAAATTGTTCCGACTTAAACACCAATAGACTAAATCCACTGACGTGCAGCTAAATCCGCGTCAGGAAAACAAAAAGTAGACTGATTATTCCACTGACGAGCCAAGTTGGCAGGTGCCAGTTGCACCCCTAATGTCAGCCAACGAGCTAAGTTTGACACGTGGCAATTGGAACCCAAGGCTTATCGCCCGGGTTCACTCTACTGCATTAGAGCTCAGTTTCTCTCTGAGGGCACGCCAGTAATTTTGTATGGTAATCTGCAATCACACTTAATCTCGTTTATGCTTAATTTCAAATGAAAAATTCTCTCATACCATACTGTTTCACATTGTAAAATAGTAATTATTAAATAAAGAATAATATCTTTTAATATTGGGTCTTTAATTCCTTATTTATGAGTTCTTGTTTTACCATTTAAGCGGTAAAACAATATATTCTAATTGAAAAATAAAAATGATATTCTTATAATTTTACATAGAATTAAAAGTTTATAATAATAATAATAATAATGTGATATTAAGTAAATATATGCATATATTTTTTTGGTATATTTGATGATGGGCTTTACAAAGGAAATAATCTAACCTTTCTTTTTTTTCAAATCCTTTCCCACCAAACTATATTTAAACTTAAGATTTTCAATTTAAAATTTTATACTCTTAATTAATTAAACCACACCCTCTTGGGTCATAAATGTATACATGTATATTATGTATGTTTATAGACTTACAATACCATGAGCATGTAACATTTTAGTATGAGTAAAGGAAAACACTAAGGGCATATTTAGTTTGAGTACTATTTTATTAGAAAAGTTTTTATTGAGAAATTGGTTAGGAAAGTAATATACAAAAAGTTACTAAATGTTGTAATTAAATTTTGTTGAAATTTTATTACGTTATTAACTTTATTATATTTGATAA